CACGGTTCTCCAACCGTCTTGTAGACTCCGCACTAATAGTCTGCCTTTAACAGCCTACTTACAGATGGACACTGGCAGTAGCAGTACCGTCCCGACACCTGCACCTCGCAGCAGCAGCGGCGCGCTGACACCAGCACCCCGCAATAGCATCGGCGTTCCGACACCGGCACCTCGCCGCTTGAAAACACCGCAGCAGGAAAACATGATTGTCGACCAGGTCCCAGAGCCGCAACCCGAGGACGAGGAAGCAGATTTCAAGCGATGCCGCTTGTGTGCGCATCACCACGCCCTGCGTGTTTGCCAGGCATTTCGCGCAATGCAGCCAGCGCAACGGTACTTGATTGCCCGTGCCCACCACTTCTGCACAAACTGCCTGGCGTTATCGCACCACAGCAGCGAATGCCCCTCCGTTGGCGTATGCAAGCTTTGCGGCCAGCGTCACCACACCCTGCTTCACCGCAAGTCTGCCCACTCAAAGCCTCAGCCATCGCATTCAGTACCAGCTCCGCGCAGAATTGAAGCCAACCGCTTGCCCCCGCCAAGCCGCAATAACGTCACGCGTAACGCGAACAAGAAGTATCAGCACCTCCAGCACGCGCGAATCGTTCAGCGCACTGCACATAAAGTGCGTAACATGGTGGGAAGAGGCAGGGCGACACGGATGCTAGTCAAGGAGGCGATCCGTAAACTAAAGGAGCTAGAGAGCAGCCTATCCGCTTAGCGCGTCTACGGGCGGCAGGATGGTTAAACGAGCGACACATGCCGTATAACCGTCGCAACTTTGAAATATTTTTTAAATTTGAGCAACTCTAGAATTGTTGTCTATCTACATATTGTATCCCTTGCCTTTGAATTGTCTAGCGCAACTACCTACGTAATGTATCTTTTGCCTTTGAATTATCTAACTTGTATCTATTTACATTTTGTATCTTTTGCCTTTGAATTACCTAACCTGCAAAAACATTGTAATTAGTGAATACCATAAATTGTAAACTTTGAAATATTTTATGAATTTGCGTGGTTGGCAATGCGCGTAGGTAAAGCAGCGCGCAGCTGACGTTTAGGTTGACAAATTGTCAACAGAAGAAAAAACTTATATACATACAAAAAATTTTTCCTGAGCTGAGCCGAGCGGTCACAAAATTGCAAATTTGCAATCGTTTTATAAATCTTTAACCTTAACCTCAAACATTCGCCATAGTATATTGAAGTCGCATTGAAATTTGTAAATAAATAGACATTAGTTTTCGCAAAGAATAAAGTGCGTGTGTATTTCATTTCGGAAAGTCTATGCCTATCGCAGCCCCCTTGCCGGGTCCGCGAAAAGTCCGCCACACCGCGCCCAATCCCAAATTTGTCAGGCGTAGTCCTCTGC